GTCTTTGAAGCAAATAATATGTCAACAATATTTATAAAGCAAAAATTCTAAGAATATAAGGTTAAATAGACAAAGACATTGAAGGAACAGGAATGGTTAGTTAATTTCTTTCAGTCAATAACAGATTAAATATAAAATGTAATATATGTAAAGATAAAGGTGAATTAATTGATATAAATATGATATACTCGTTAATATATTGCAAACTATATTGCCTGACATTAGAAAATACAGCTCCTTTCCAAAAGACCATACAAGCTGGGTGTGGTAGGGTACACCTATAATCTCAGCACTAGAGAGGCTGAGGCAGGAGGATCACCATGAGTTCAAAGCACCCTGGGTGATATAGTGAATTCAAGGCCAGCCTGAACCACATAATGAGACCCTGCCTAAAAACAAAACAGCTGGGGATTTAGTGCAGCAGTTGTGCCGCCTGCCTCACAAGCATGAGGACCTGAGTTTGAACCCCGGTGCCAAAAACATAAAATCAAACAAAGCATACAAATTGACCAAATATTAAAACACATGGAAGCCTCAAAAAGTTCCAAAATTAGCAAAAATAAAGAAAATACCCACTAATCATGCTGCAATAAAATTAGAAAATGATCGTAAAATTAGAATAAAAAAATAACATGAGCAGCCTTTCCATTTGATAATTTTTAAAATCCCTCTTAAAAATTCTTGTTTGTAAAACAACTTCAAACCAAAATTATGGAGTTTGTAGGGAAGGAAAGATAACAACAAAAACAACCATTTAATCGGAATCCAGAGGGTATAAAAACAGGCTCCAGGGGTAATTTACAGCAAAGAATATTTCTATCAGTGAAAAATTAAAATGTGATTCAAGTACCTAACATAAAACTAGAAAAAGAATAGAATAAATGAAAGAAAAACAGAAAGAATAAATTAGGTAGCAAAACACTCAAACTAATGAATCTAAAAGCTGTTAAAAAAAATAACTCCAAGACCTTTATACTGGAAAATGACAAACATTATTGAAAGAAACATTAAAGTATTTAAATAAAGTTAAAGACAGCCCATATTAATGCATTAGAAGGCTTACTATTATTAAAATGTTAGTACTGCCCAAATTATAGACTCAGTGAAATCTTAATATACAGCAGCAGTTGTTTTGTAGAAATTGGATGAATAGATTTTATTTGCATGGATGAAGCAAAATTTACTTAACTATTATTCTACTGATAGAAATTCATGTTGCTCATAATCAGCATAATCATCATATTTTGCCACCACAATGAAGTCTACAGCAAATAGCCTGCAGCATGTATCTCTGTGCCCATGATGTGTGTAAAGGCGAGAGATGAATTCCCAGGAGTAGAACTGCCCAGAATTAGGAATGTGGAATTTTAATTTTTGACACAGGGCCAGATTATCTTCCAAAGTCGTATCCGTTTCTATTCCCAAGAACTAGTGAATCCATTATGAGATTTTTGTATTAACTGAATTGTGGACATAATTTCCTTTATAAACACACTTTGAGAAAGTATGAACTGTGAACATCTTCCTGTCTGGCTCCAGTCCCAGAAATGTATAGGCCAAAAGCTGATGGTGCTGAGCGCTGGTACACTTGATCACAATTTTCATATAATTTTTCACTTTTTATGCTCTTAAAAGTAGCAGAGTGTGTACCTGAAGGGCTGACTCAGTTCATACTGGTTAACGCAGAGTTAATGATAAACACCTTACCTTGATTATTGTATTTATTGCCATCTAACAATTTTTTATATTTGTTACATTTATACTTGCCACTGTTATTGTTGATTTGCATAGCACCATAGTTCACAAAAATGCATCATCATTTCAAGAGTGGTTTGCTGAAGTACAACAATAAGGACAAAAATAAAAATGTAAATCCTACAACATGAAATAAAGTCACCAATATAAGTAATGAATGGACTCCCTCATAAATATAAAGCATGAGTCTATCATAAGGCGAATGCAGAATGAATGTCAATAATCTTATAAAAGCAGATTTTAAATATATAAGAAAATAGGATTCATGACAATGAATAATGATCATTGAATTTTGTCAGACCAATGATCATTTTGTCCTAATAGCTAGTTTATTATGTTGGCATTTTTGTCAAATAATGACATAAAACTACCAAAATTTCCATGTTATTTTCCAAGAAAGACTATCAACCCCACTTTTAAAGCAATTGACCATCAGGCAGGTGATTTAGCTCAGTGGTGCTGCACCTGCCTTACAAGTGCAAGGTCATGAGTTTGATCCCCAGAACCAGAAAAATAAATAAACCAACTGACCATCTCTAGTACAAACACAAAATAAGGTTTTCCCATACAAAATTATGAAAGTTGATGCTAAAAGTTGAGAAGACACCCAAACCAGGAGAGTTATCATTCACCCTTAGATAAAAACAGATATAATTTTTTTAAAAAAGCAAAAACAGGTGCAATTGTACTCTTGCTAAAATGAGAAATCAGCTTCAAAATCAATTACAAATATTGTGTTTGGAAAAGAAGCAAGAAAAACAATTGGTAGAATTTCTTTATCAGACCAAATAAATTTTGTATTCCTTACAATGTGCTTGGCATTTAAAATCAGTGATGGTTACGTACTATAAGCAAAGAGATCTTACTTTATTGCTGAACAGAGCTATGAATAAATCAGTTTCAGCGTATGTTTATAAATATGTGACAGAGATATGCTTAATTGCTTTTTCTCCTACTTTTCTTGAAGTTAATAGTAAGAGATTTTCTTTCTTTTTTCTCTTCTTTCTGGTTTTTTTTTTTTTGGTGGGGTGGTGGTACCAGGGATTGATCTTGGGACCTTGTGCTTGTGAGGTAGGTGGCCGAACCACTGAGCTAAATCCCTGGCCAGAGATTTTCTTTCTTAAAGTTTAATTTGAAAGTATTAAACAAAAAGGTAGGTTAGTTTGTGCACCCATGTCTATAGCAAGATTGTTCATAGCGGTCAAAAAGCAGAAATAACTCAAATGTCCATTACCAGGTGAATGGGTAAAAAAACTGTACACACATGAGCAAGGGAATATTATTCAGCCTTCAAAATGAGTGAGATTCTGACAAATGTCACGGTATGAATCAACCTTGAGAAAACATGCCATGTAAAATAAGCCAAATGTAAGTGAATCGTATGGTTCCACTGATAAAAGGTACTGAGGAGACAAATACTTCGCAGGGAGCAGAGAAGGGAAGCTGTTGTTTAACAGGTACCCATCTGCTTCAGGGGATGAGAAAGTGCTGGAGGTGGACAGTGCTGGTGGCCCTACCATACTGTGAAAGCACGTCGTGTTCCCGAATTGTATGCTTTCAAATAGTTAAGCTGGTGAATTTTATGTTATGCATATTTTACCAAAATTTTAAGAAACAGGCACATTGAATTGGCACTAAAGAAGCACCAGCCAGACATCACGATCCAAACTGCAGATTCCGCTTCCCACGGCCAGCATGCACCCTACTGCCAGGCAATGGCTGGGGCGCGTAAATGCGTCTCCAGGTCCTGATTTGCCATTAAGGGACAGAGTGGGAACTGTGAATACGCACTGATTGTGGCCGGTTACTGCAAACGTCCTCAGCCTGCGGGGCAGAGAGAGAAGGGGGAGAGACGCTGCCCTCCCACACAGAATAACTCTGGCTGGCGAACAAAATAGGCTCACCTGGTGAATTGAAGCTGAGGGATGAGATTTGGGTAAATGACCATTCCTATGAATATAAGTGGTGTAGCTCAGTGATCCATTCATGATTTTGAATAGTATGGACTGTTGACATAGGGCCTAAGTGTCAGGAGTTCTAATGATTAAACATTGGGATTTCTTAGAAGAGTGGTGTGAATGGCTCAGTGACTAAGTTTGACTTCTTTCCAGAACCTGGTGATTATCTTCATTCACCAGGAAGGAAACCTCAGGAAACACGTGATCATATTAAAAATCACATCCAAATCCCACCAAGGAGAGGATGTGCCCCCACGGGCTGCCGTCTCCTGAGTCGAGCCGTTCAACCTGCCAGCTTTCAGCTGCACTGAGCTGGGGCCCTCATCCTCGGGGGAACACTGAAAATAGTCTTTATAGAGAATTCTCTCCATAATTTCAGGGTCTGTGTTTGATCTGAAAAGCCGGAAATATCCATCAAAGCTTCCCAACAACCTATAATTCTGTGTTAAGATTTTCTAATTTAGAAAATAAAAAGGGGGGGGTGGCAAACCGACAAGATCTGGGTGGTGCTCACAGCTCGAGTGGCTGTACAGCCAGACATAGATTTCCTCATGAACAATTTTAAACAGTTTCTCCTCTCACAGATATGAGAAAACATTACCGCTACTCACTTTTTATTTTAAAATGTACCTTGTTCATGGTTTAAGAGATCACGCAGTTCTATAAGAATTCTAACAAAAACCAGAAAGCAACTTACTGTTCCCATCTCCTTACCCTCAGTCCCATCTTCCCAGTGGAAATGGCCTTCGTTTTTTTTACCTCTTTCTTCTGGTCCCTCCCTACCCCAAATGAGACACTTGCGGTACTATTTTTTTAATTTTTCCATTCATATGGCTTCTTACAATGGAAAAAGAAAAATTAGGGACCCACACACACATTCACTTCCTTTCACCCTGATTTCCCAGAATCACTGGAAGCAGAGATGTTTGGAGAGGAGGGGTGTAGCAGAGCCCCACTCTCTTCCACCATACACAGGGCTCAAAGGGAGCCTCCAGCTTCCACAGGACAGGGAGCCTCTGGGAGCCTTGTGGGAGAGGAGTGCTCTTGTTTCTCATCTGCCACTGCCCACTGCCTACCTTTGAAGTCTTCTGGCTGTCTCAGGCCCCTACGCCACCTTCCCTGCCACACAGCTGTATGACTGTCAGTCCTCCTCCATCTGTATCTTGTCTTCTTACCCAGTCTTCCTCTTCTTGCCACCTTGGGGAAGTCTTTCGTGCATGTCCCCTTGGACAACCACCGGAGCTCCCTCCATGACACAGTTAATGCTCCTTCTGTCCTACTCTCTAGGTACGTCTTCACTGTGATTTACACCTTTGAAGCCTTGATAAAGATACTGGCAAGAGGGTTTTGTCTGAATGAGTTCACCTACCTGCGAGATCCCTGGAACTGGCTAGACTTTAGCGTCATTACCCTGGCGTGAGTATTTCCCATGCTGGTTTGTGTATTCCATGGGCTTCTAGTGTCTAGGCTCCCAACCTGGTTGTGTCTCTTTGTTTTGGTGCAGCTCCCTTGTCTGGAGCCTCATGGCCTGGGGCTTTCTTGCCATCTTACTTTGGGAGTCACTCTTCAAGGTTAGGGCCACCCCGCTAAGGACAAGTCAAAGTTGATAACTGGCCAAAGTGGTTCAGCACTGTCCCTTCCCTGGATAGAGGAATCACCATGGGGAACTGTGCCTCAGATGGGTTGCCCAACACTGCAGGTTTGAACATCCATCCATATAGATCAGAGCTCCTGGCTCACAATGCATTTTCTCAAATGATCCTGTATGGAAGAGAATGTGATGATTACATGAAAATCTATGTCAGTCTGTGGATGGAACTGCCACAAAATTTCCAGGTCTTCCTGGGTTTGTGTGCCCAGCGTTATGCTACACACACACACACACACACACACACACACGTGCTGCATGCATCCCTGGGGTCCTCTCTTTGCAGAAACACTGACTTCCAGTTTTACAGGTACATGGGCACAGCAACAGAGCTGAAAGGATTCTCGGGCTTGAGGACTTTCCGAGTACTTAGAGCTTTAAAAACAGTTTCCGTGATCCCAGGTGAGCAATGTTAACCAACACATTTATTCACAGAGCAAATGTTGGCTTTCACACTTAATCCCCTCCTTTGATTATCTCAAAAATTCTGTAAGGTTTGGGGCAAGGACTATTGTCTCTGTTCGAGGGACAAAGAAACCAGAGCCCCAAGAATAGAAAACACAACACTAGGTCCTCATCACTTGTAAGAGTCCAAGTGTAACCTGGAAACTGGCTGCCCGGATCCCTAGGCCAATGCTCTGTCCACTTACCCTGTACCTCACCATAAATAAATGACAAGATCAAGTTCTCATTTCCTGTTCTTGCTGTGAGGTTGAGGCCAGATCCCCAACTGGATTCTCACTTATACCTTAAACTAAAGATTTAAAATCGCTCATCCACCGCTAGGTTGATGGTGGGATGGTAAAGCCAGAGGCAATGTAAATTGGCCTGAAAAAGGACTCTGCGGGTCTTCCTTGCAGTTGGAAGCACAGTCTCCCCTCCTCACCCTGCGAACCCCTTCCCTCATCCATTAAATAGAAGCGTTAATGCCAAGGTTGAGGGTGAGCTCCATGGGAGAGGGCTTACCTGGCAAGTCTGAGGCCTGGGTTCAATCCCCAGCACCACAGAAAAGAAACAAATACTATTCTAGAGTAGGAGTCCCTTTCCGCAAGCCTCTGAGTCTGTGTCTAGATCTATTGGAAAAGACTGAAAACTCTTCACTGACTTCTACTGGACGAAGATGGCGTCTCTGCTCATAACCGGGAAGACTTTGTCTCTTGTTTACCAGACCCGGCCTGTGGAGCGTCCCTCTGAGGATCCCCTATTTACCCGCGCTCTGCACACCTTGCGTCAAGTTCTAGAATCCTCCGTGTTTCCACCAACACTCCAAGCCCGCGCCTGTCTCCCAGTTTGTGGCTGTGCACTCCTGAACGTCCTTCCTCTTCTTACTCAGATTCATCGTGCAGGGCTCTGCCAAGATATCACTTCTCCAAAATGACGCTCTGGCCTTTTCCATCCTCCCGCCCTGAGCTTCCTGGGCCTGGTTCTCGGTGGATTATTTGCCCACAAAAGTGACACATTCTGTCAGATTTCTCTCCCCCTCTCTGCTTCAGCGACTCAGTGAATTTTCACGGTTCTGTTATCAGGTAGCTCCTCCCAAATGTAGCTCACCAATGGAGTCTTACCAGGTTCTGGGCTGCTCACCTCTCCTTCTGGAGTTAGACTCCAGGTTCTTCTCATCTTGCACAAAGAGTTCAATGAGATGAACAGGAAGTGGTGGCAGCAGATTTTATTTGAAAAAGTCAAAATGAAGAGTGAGAGAAATTGGCTCTGCAGAGCAAGGTTGGGCCAAGTAAAAGGAGAAAGGGCAAGAACAAAGAATACCCCGGAGGAAGCAGGGTAGGCTGGCATCATGAAGAAAGCCACAGTAGCAAGCTCTTCTAGGCACCTGTGTCCTTTCTTGCCATCCGTATCTCAAGGAAACCTCTGAGAACTTCTGCTTATGGGTCCTGAGATGCTGTGCCTCAGGCTGAGGTCTAGGCCATCCGAATGAATTCTCACAAGAAGTCTACATGCAAGGCTTCGGGAACTGTTCTGTGCACATTTTGTGGGATTTTTGTAAGTATCAGGTCACCCCTCCTTCCACAGCCAGCTTTGCCACGCCCTAGCCTATGTGAGTCTCCCTCTGTCGCTAAGTTCGTCTCTTGGTGTCTTTGGGTCTTTTGCTTCATCATTTTGTCTATATTTGTCTATGCACAGGTGTGAAATATTTACAAACCCCTGGCAGTTCCAAGCCTTGTATGATCCTCCCTACCCTCCCCATACAAAGAGTGAAGTCTATGTGTTCCGAGCCTGGACCTGCACCCCAGAACTGAGATGAGTTCAGAAAGACAGATGCAAAATACTGGTGTGAAGCAAGCAGCCTCACAACTCCAACAGGGCGCAGAGCAGAGTAGGTATGCCGCGAGTTCTTTAACTGAGTTGGTATGCCAGGAACGTGTGAGCCTTAAGATAGTAAAAATCTACATTTCCCCGGATCTCAGTTGATTATCTGTATGAGGACAATAGGCCTGCCTGCCTCTCAGGACAATTTCAGAGTTCAGATGAGAGGCTGAGGTTGGAACTGCCAGGGGTTGTAAATATCTCACACCTGTTCACAGAGAGGAGGAAGGAGGCAGGGCTCGTGCATGTACTCTGTGGTGCCCCCTCCACCAGGCGGTGTCACCGTCATCTTCCCACAGGGCTAAAGGTCATCGTGGGGGCTTTGATCCACTCGGTAAGGAAGCTGACTGACGTGACTATCCTCACCGTCTTCTGCCTGAGTGTCTTCGCCCTGGTGGGCCTGCAGCTCTTCAAGGGCAACCTCAAGAACAAATGTGTCAGGAATAGCACGACTGCCCTGCAGGCCACCAACTGTTCATCTAGAACATGTGAGTGAGATTTCTGCCGCAGAGACCAAGGCCTATGTGGGGCCTTGGGACCGCAGGGACACAGGGGAAAGGAGAGGTACAAAGCTCAACACATCTAAATAGACTCTTTTTTTTGGATAATTTTTGTCTTGTTTCTGTTTGGTTTGCTTTGCTTTGCCTTTTTTTGTTTGTTTGTGGTACTTGGGTAGAACCCAGGGCCTTGTATATGCTAAGGCAAGCGCTCTACTACTGAGCTACACCCCTAGCCCTATTTTAAACTATATTTTGAGAGGAAGTTTCATTAACCTGCCCATGTGTTAGCAGCCTCAAACTCTCAATCCTCCTGCTTCAGCCTCCTGAGTAGCTGGGATCACAGGCATGTGCCACTGCATCCAGCTAGACAAGTATTTTGATTCCTCATTCCTGTTGAAATTCTCTTCCTGAGCTGTGATTTGCTTTTGAGTCACCCATTTCCTGTTTCCCCAGTATTCCATTTGTAAGGAAATGTGCTTTTAAATCCAGAAGCAAGTCATTCTGCTGTACTGCATGAAGCATAGAGACAAGTTGCCTCCCAGCTCTTCTCAGATGTGACTTAGGCCTTCCACATGGCTCTAGGCATCCACCGAGTGCCGACTGGGTGCACACAGCCCAGGGAGCTCCCCTCACTCAGGGAAAAGGCCACAAAGGGCATGGCTGGCAGGTGCAAAACCAACAGTGAGGCTTTTATTTCTTCCCTTCTTTGGCAGATGAGTATGCTATTAAGCCAGGAACTTCTGATCCCTTACTGTGTGGCAACGGAACTGGTGCAGGGTGAGTACCCCATCTGGGCCCAGAAGTCCTTCTTCCATCTTATCCTCAGCATATTCCAGGCAGAGACTGGGTGACAGGTGCTGAAAGAATTGTATAAATGAATAAGTCAGGGCCTTTGCCATCTTAGGACTCTCAGGGAGGGAGTATGAGTTAGCTTTTGTCTCATAACAAGCCTTGAGGTTGCCAAGACCCCATAAAATGGCAACCATTTAAATGGCAACCAAGGGTACTAGGATTAGGGATGTGAGTGCTACATACCCTGAGTAGTCTGGATAAGACAAAAGGGGCAGAAAGATTTTGTTAGGACCCTTGTTGCCTTTGTGGTCCTCTGCCATCATGAACAGTTGCCTCTCTGCCATGTGCCACCCTGCCTTGGAGCCAGCTGATTACAGACTGAAACTTCAAAAACCAGGAGCTAAATAAACTTTTCCTCCTTTCACTTTGGGTGTCAGGTATTTTGTCTCAACCACAAGAGAACCTCAACCATTTTGATGCTTAAACCTGACTCTTTGTATAGTATTTGGGGCTGGGATCAATTGGCCATTGGATGGCACTGACTGGCTCATTCCTGCCTCTGCAGACTGTGGCCAAAGAGCCTCAAGGTGGCTGGCCTGGGATATTGGTCTCCTCCACGGCCCCAGCCTGTTCTCTGCAGAAACAGATTTCCAAGAGTGGAAGTGTGCACATCCTCCTGAAGCCTAGGGTTAAACCTGGCTCAGTATCTCTCTTTTTTCATTCTGTTGATCAGAGCAAGGTGCAAGCCCATCCAAATGCAAAGGGTGGGAAATGGACTTGATTTCTCAATGGGAGGAGCTGTAAGGTCACATTGCAGAGAGGCAGGAGGGGTGAGAGAGGGGAAGACTGGTGACTATTTTTGCACATAATCTATTGCAGAAACTCACACGTGTCAAATATAATTGTGTCAAAGGCTCTATGTTTAATCATCAGAGCTAACTGCATCCTATGGGTTTTATTATCCTTACATAAGAGAGGAAGAAAAACATGCAGAACACTGCAATTTTAAATTCTTACAGAGGTCAGGCACATAACAACAAGTTTGTGGAGCTGGCAGAGGGAACCATGGCAACAGAGAGGTCAAGCCCATCTAAAGGGACAACCACTGGTCAGTCAAGCTTCTGGTTGTCACACGGAAATGTGGGTCCACTGCTTCCAACTCTTCCAACTTTAAAAGAAAGACAGGAAATTGCAACTTTGTATGTGAATTCTCACAGTTATAAACTTGGCTACCAGCTCCCCAAAATGTCTACACATTTTATTAGCCAAACAAAATATTTTTTCAGATTAAATTCAGCTTGCACGCTGCCAGGTTTTTAACTCCTGTGCATATGCATAACTTGCAGGATGAGTTAGCTTTTGTCTTGTAGCAAGGAGAGTAAGTGCTGTGCCAGAGGCTCCTCAGGCTCGGCACACACCCTGAGGGGATGGTATGAAGCAAGGGAGGTCAGGTACAGCTTCCTGGAGCAAGGGTCAAGGTCAGCACTCAAGGGCAGACGGGATCTTTCAGCCGGGTAAATAAGAGATGTTGCAATGGAAGCTGCTCCGGTGGGTGGCAGAACAGAGGATAAGATGCGGTGAAGGTGTGAGGACCTCTCAGCTCTGCCTGCTGCTTGGCCTTTAAAGGAGGCACAGGCAGAAAAGGCTCAGCCCTACAACACCCAGGTAAAGGTGGGTGAGGCCTGTGTGAGGCTCTACCTTACTCAGCTCTCCGGGAAAGTAATGTCAGATAGATATGAGGAGCAGAACAAACAGAAGAAGGTGAGCAATGTGAGGCTCTCTGGTTCCTTTCTTCACAAATGCATTGGGCATCTGTGTCTTTCACTCGTGGGAAGGTTCTGGTGTTTTCACTTCTTCTGATTTAAGTTTAAACCAAGGAACTTTGAAGTGTCTTTTTCCTGTCTAGGCAGTAGCTGCAGAGTAAGTATTTTCCATGATGAAGTTGTAGGAATTACCACTGTCCCCACCTGTTTCCCGGAGAGGCAAGACCTGGCCAAGCACTAGAAGAGGGAACTGGGCTGGGCGAGCAAGGAGATGCCAACTCAGGACAGTGGCAGAGTGAGCCCTCTGGTGCCTCCTGTGAATGCCAAACCTGGGCTTGTGCTGTGAACCCCAAGTAAAGCCCCCCCCACGTGGCACTGTGGAAGGAAATTCCAGGGTCTTGGGTAGAGAACTGGTACTAGAAAACATCTGATCATTTTCAGCATCCGTTTACATATGAGGTGTAATGGAATAATATTGTGGATGTGTACATGTTTAAAACACCTTTTATAGTAAAAGACACATTGCTATTAATGGCCTCGTATATATATCCCCCCTTGCTTCCATGAAACATCACTCTTGCCACTTTGTGAAGCAGTTCAGGAAGTTCTCTTTCACGATGTGTTGTTGTGACTGCCCCAATGTCCTGAACTGGCTCAAAACATTCACCTTTCATGGTCAATTTGATTTGAAGGAAGAGCCAGGAGTCACATGGTGCCAGCTCCAGTGAATAAGGCAGAAGGGAACGTGCACTAGTGTGTCTTACAAACCTGCCTTTCCACTGATGGTACTTGGCGGCAGCATTCACTATATGTTTTATCGCACTGTTATGGCTTGTGTTTAGATGTCCCCCCCTCCAAAGCCTCATTTGAATGAGGTGGGGCTTTCTTGGAGGTGTCTGGATCTAGAGTGTGTGACACTGGAATTGATTCGTGGTGCAATGCTAGGCTCAGGGGCCATAGAATTAAGAGTGTGAGTGCTACCCACCCTGAGTAGTCTGGATAAGATAAAAGGGGCAGAAAGATTTTGTTAGGACCCTTGTTGCTTTTACAGTCCTCTGCCATCATGAACGGTTGCCTCTCTGCCATGTGCCACCCTGCCTTGGAGCCAACTGATTACAGACTGAAACCTCTAAAACCGTGAGCTAAATAAACCTTTCCTCCTTTCACTTTGGGTGTCAGATATTTTGTCTCTGCCACTTAGTTAGAAAAGTAACTAAGGCACACACCTTGCAAACACTCACAAAAAAATGACTTCTAGAATTGCTCCAGAAAGTGGCAAGAAGGATGGGATAAGTGTGTTTGAAGTTTGGGAGCGTGTTTTGAGGTGGAGTAATGGCAGTGGATCATTTATGTGGCACCTTTTTTAATTTAAACATTTACCATAGACCTTGACCACCCCTTGTGTGTCCAGCACCTCCTTTCAGTAGCTGCCAATAAGAATCATAGGAATTTTAATTTGTGCTTTGTATGAAACATTTGCTACGTTGAGAGCACTGTGCGAGAGACTGCACTGTGATCTCATTTAGTCCTTGGAGTACTGACAGTTGACACATCAGGCAGTTAGCTGTGTGTGATGGCTAAGGTGGACTTTGATGGAAAATGCAGGAAACCTACAGAGAGAGTCCACTAGTTCCTTGGGAGAGCAATCAAACACACCTCCTTTGAATGTGGGTCTGCAGAGTGAGAGAGGTCTCCAGTCAAGTTGGAGAAGGTAGAGTTGAAATTGATTGTCACTAATTCATCAGTGCTCCAACCAAACTCTGGCTCCAAAGTTCTGTGTCCACATGAATGTCTGGGATAAGGTAAATCCCAGAGGTTGGTGTAGGGGGCTGACTCCTGAGAGTAAGAGAATCCTTAGCTCCACATCCTTAGCCTTGCTGGTTCCTTGACCAGGCCATCCACATGCAAGGGGTTCGCCTTGACATCTCCCTAGCCCCTTATGATGAGAGAGAATGAGGAGTCCAACACTCCCCACCATCTTGCCTGGCTCCCTGCATTCACCGGTCCAAGGAGGCAGCTGGCTGACTTGAGAGTCAGGTTACTTGATGGGTTATATTTCCCCTTTTTGATGAATGCGATGGAACCTGTATGGTTTTAACAACTGACTTCTCTCTGAATCCCAGCTTCCTCATCTGTAGAGAAGGCTTATTTAGATTATTAGAGTACAGTATTAGTAAAGCACCTGGAGGGGGCACGTACCCCTAAGTGGAAAGTGTCACCTCATTATCATCTCAGTGAATTTGACTAACACAGGTACTTCCTGGATAGACAACTCTGCAGGTGATAACCACAGGCTCGCGATATAAATCCTCATCATTGTTGCTGACTCTCCTTTTCTTGATGTGAACTGGCAAAGAGCTCAACAGCTTATAGGATCATGTCTGGGCATATCTGGCTACTCCTCCAGACATGAAATTCTTCAGTAACATATTGCCATCCCTATTTTATGGATGAGAGAAACTGAGTCCTAGAGAGATTAAGTGTCCATGGTCATTTAGCTAATAAGAGGAAACCAGGCCTTGAACTCTGATATGTGGGTTTCCTGCAACCCCAAGCAGGAGATAAGGGATAAGCAGGGGCAGCACAATCATGGCCTTCTCTGTTCTTGCTGCAGCCTGTGTCCCGATGGTTATATCTGCCTCAAAACCTGTGACAACCCAGACTTTAACTACACCAGCTTTGATTCCTTTGCTTGGGCTTTCCTCTCCCTGTTCCGCCTCATGACGCAGGATTCCTGGGAACGCCTGTACCAGCAGGTATTGATCTGCATGTCCCCAACAGACCTGGCTGGAGGCTGGTGGTCAGCTGTATGGATGCGCTTTTCCCAGAAGATCCCGACCTAATCTCAGGGGCCTGTCTGCCATAAGTACAGGTCTCTCTCCTTTCCCTTGAACCTGCAGACCCTCAGGGCCTCTGGGAAAATATACATGGTCTTTTTCGTGATTGTCATCTTCCTGGGCTCCTTCTACCTGGTCAACTTGATCTTGGCTGTGGTCACCATGGCATACGAAGAGCAGAACCAGGCCACCATTGCTGAAATTGAAGCAAAAGAGAAGAAGTTCCAGGAGGCCATGGAGATGCTTCGGAAGGAGCAAGAGGTTTGTGAGGGACAAAAGCTTTGGGAAACCGATGGTCCGCTTTTGAGCAGAAGACTGACTTAGAATCATCCAGCTTCATGTAGGTTAAGGCCGCCATTCTAGGGAGCTAGGGGAGAATACTTCTCACCGCAGGGACTGTCTTTGGTCAGGTTTCTCTTAAAGAGAAGACCTGAGAGAGGATTCTTATACAAGTAATCTTTTCAGAGAGTCTTCTGGGGATAGGGGAGTGAAGGAAGCAGGGAGCAGAACTAAATATGACTTAGTCTCAGCTGAGCTCCTGGGGAGCACTGGAGCATGAGTCTGCCCTACCTCAAGGCAAGAGGACCAGTCTTTTGTACTCCACACCTGCCCTAGGGACATCAGCCAAAAGGAACTCTCTCCACCTGCAAGGGCAAGCATTAGCAGCTGCCCATGGGTGTACAGCTCAGTAAGTGGACTCAGTGAGGCACCAAAAGTCACGACAGGTGAAGAGGGTGACCCAGAGGTCACTGTTCCTGCCATGTCTTCACCCCAACACCACTCAGGTGCTGATCCTGAACCTCCTGTGCTCATCTCCCCCCATCCCAGTGACACCACAGTCTGGAAGACACGTTGGTACTCTGCTGCTATTCTCTCCCCTCAGGTGCTGGTGGCACTGGGGATGGACACAGCCTCTCTGCACAGTGGCTCCCCATTAGCCTCCAAAAACGCTGGTGAGAGAAGGCACAGAATGAAGTCGAGAGTGTCAGATGGCTCCACTGACGACAACAAATCACCGCAGTCAGAGCCTTACAACCAGCGCAGGATGGTAAGGGCTCAGTTTTGTGCTGTAGAGCTTACTACCTTTGCAGAGTTGTGGACGGTGGGTTGAAGTGGGAAGGAGTTTGTAGAAGGAGAAAGTTGGGGGCACAGAGGCCAGGAGGATGCTTTAGTCAGCCAGGACTCCACCCCAACGGATAGTGGGATAGTGGACAGGGCAAGAGGGGTCAGTCATAAGGGCTTTTCTGGGGCCAAAGCCGAAGGGACCATCAAGATTGGGATTGTGGAATGTGGAAAAAGGAAAGACAAGTCCAAAACGACTCCCAGTTTCAGGGTGAGGCCCTTGAATGGGTGGTGATTCTGAGACAAGAGCAGTGGAGAAAGCCAAGTTTGGAGGGGAGGTGGGAAGCCATACTGTACATGCCAGTCCTGCACCATCAACAGTCAGCTTCCCTTGTGTGCACTGCCAGGCAGGTCTGGAGCTGGGGGCGGGGCTACTCTGTCTTGATCCAGAAGTCACCACACACACTGATCTCATGCCTCTGGCCCTGCAGCTCAAACTGTCACCTGCTCTTGGTACCGAAGATCCCAGTGCCCATCTGTGTGACAGTCTGGCCCGGGGTGGCTTCGACACCTCACCTTAGACCCTGTAGCACTTCTGCCCATCATAGCTTTCTGCCTCCTGCACCAAGATTCCCTCAGCAAATGTCATCCCGCTACCCCTCACCCCTGAAAGTCACTTGTGTACTAAATATTCCCTTTCCATAGGCCTGAGGGACAGGATTCCTAGTGTGGAAGGGTAGTTCCCACACTGGCAGTGTGGACATGGTTGTTTCCAGGCTTCCTGTGCTCACATGAAGGAAGTTCTCCATGTTGGCAATGCCATCATTCCAGCACTCGTGCTTGTACATGTATCCCGGCCTCAGGGACTCACCCACTGAGAATTCATCCACATCTGTGCCCTTCTCTTCCTTGCTCTGTCTCTCTCAAACAGCACCTGACATGCACAGGGCATGGTCCAGATGAGGTTTCAAAGGGAGTTTGGCTAGGGCTCTAACAATCACAAAACAGCCGAATCATGGCTACCGCCGCAGTGTTGATCACACTCTGAAGTGGGCTTTAATTTTCCCCATTCAGTCATCCCTACACAGATTAGCATCTGGATGTCCCAAAATTGTTTGATTTCAGCTCTTGTCTCTCCAGTTAAACTTACCTGCAAGGGCAGGGGGATAAAAAGGTACTGTGTCTTGTTTGTTCAACATTAATAGGTGTTTGACATACAGAGGACCAAAACTTGGCCTCTTTCCCAAAGACTTATTTGTGTGGGGGAGGCAGATATACAAACAAGTTATATGTTAAATGCTATGTCAGAGTCACATACATGGTGCTGTAGACACTGGTGAGGAAATTCCATTCTTCAGACAATGAGTGTGCATCAGGAAAGGCTTCCTAGAGGCGGGAACACTGAAGTGAGAAGTGAAGAGTACTGAGACAGTGGTCCTGCAGTGGTTGAAGACTTGGGAGAGTTCGGGGAGGAGTGTTTTCCAAGCAGGAAAAAAAAGAAAAAGGACATGAAAAAGCAGGGAGACACCATTTGAGCGCTGTAAAACTCTGGTCCATTCAAGACTTCCCTTTCTCTTTCCCCAGACATGTGCACCCAGTAAGTTGACCTTAGAGCATTTTTAGATAAAGCCCCTGTCTGACTGGCAACAGTGAGATGGAATTTGGTGTAAATCGCTGGAAAGACATGGCAGATGTTTCCAGGGACCCACTGGAGAGCAGTTGGCTGCTTGGATGATACCTTTTAAGGCAATTGTACTGCTTGGCCTGCAGTTTGTTGCCCACCATTTGTCAAACAGATTAATTCTGACATAAATGGTGGCCGAGCAGGCACTGGATGTCAACTGTGGAACCTGAATGTACTTCTCAGTTTTCTCATAGGCTTGCTTGGTGCCCGAGTACAAATAATTCAGACTTCCCATGTTTCATACAGATTTGCCAATTCTGCTCCTTTCCTTCAAAGTGGAAAGGGTTCATGGATTTTTATGGGTTCTGTGATCCTTGGGCAGTATTTTAGGCAAAGAATGTTGTGTTTATAACGCGAGGTTTGCAATGAAGGCCGCTAGTTAGGATTGGGTTCCAAATCATTAAGAAAAGAAACTTCAGTTCTGAGGAGAGCGGGGAGAAGTGGGAAGGATTCTGACAAGATACTCCACTGTATTAGTTTAGTAAATAAAAGAAATTAAAGCAGAATTAAAGAAGGGAGGAAACAAGCAGTATGACCAGTTTGGTAGAGGGAGTCAGTGTTTAGATTTTAGAAATGCTATTTATGACCTGAAACCGTGTGTTATGGTCAGGTTCCCACAGTGGCCATGAGAATTGACTAACCCCACACACTAACTCTCTGGGGGCTCTCAGCCTGTGAATTAGCTCTTTTCCTCTGGAGTCTGTAAGCCACACAATTCTCTCAGTGAAAGACTTTGATGGGAAATGTTTATTGATTTGGAAGAGTGGCATTATTCTTCCAGGAAATTAGGCTGCAACTCTTCCTTTAATCTCCCCATTGTTGACCGTTCAAAGCTTGTCTCGAGGGGTCCTGGAGACTCATTACACTATAAAGCTCTTGTCTCCCCTGCCACACAAACTCTCGGCTCATGCAGCTTGGAGCCAATGAATAGTACAACTTCATTTTCAGATGATAAAGTGCACTTGTTCATTCAACAACCACTCTCCAGGCACGGTCCAATCCGGGTGTACACAGTACGCACAGTCTCCTTGAGTCACAATGGTGCATGCAGAGAACTTATGACACATTGTCAGGCCCCAGCGAAGGCTGCCAGCAGCTGACTCACCCAACAAGTTTGTCCTCTGATGTGTTCTCGCCCCGATGACCTATACACGAATCTTCAGGGCCCTGATCTCCCCTCTCTCTTCGTGTTTCCTCGAGTCTGTCTAGAACATCCCTTTTTCCTCTTACCTCCCTGTGTCTACCTAGAATACACTTTAAATCTGTGCCTTTGTTTAGTTACCGAAAGGTCCTGAGAATAAGGGTGCGGAAGTGGGAGCGGGTGAAGTACGCTCTCCATTTTCTGAAGAACAAGCTCCCAACCCGCCTCCTTTCCTGTTCATTTGGGGCAATGCCCAGTCTTTCCTAGGCCTTGCTTCTGGGAGACGTCGGGCCAGCCACGGCAGCGTGTTCCACTTCCGAGCCCCTGGCCAAGATGTCTCATTCCCTGATGGAATCACAGATGATGGACTCTGCCATGGCGACCACGAAAGCCATCGGGGCTCCCTGCTGCTGGGCAGGAATGCGGGACAGCAAGGTCCCCTCCTCAGGAGCCCACTGTCTCAGCCCCCCAACCACGGATCCCAGCATGGAGAGGAGGAACGCCCCACACTGCCCGCTGTGGAACTTCCCCCGGGGCCCCCTGAAGTCGTGGTGAGTTTGCGCATGAGCTGGACTCTTAACGGCCTCCCAGCCAGTGGAGTCAGCCAAGAAGCCCCGAGCCTCAGCCATCAAAGGGTCATGTAGCCGTCGTTCTGTCCATTGCTTCACATCCACTTCTCATTTTACAGTGAGGATTATTGAGTTTACCGGACCTAGACAGATTTCCTGGTTTACTCTGCAGAATAGTGATACAGATTGTTTTGCATCTGACCTCACATTTTCTCCGTGTCGCTGTCTTTGCTCAGCACCACAGCTTTGAAGATAGCGCCATGTGGTCCCTCTATGGATGTGAGAAAAACTCAGAGTCCTTTTCTAAGCCTGTGGATCTGCTACTCGAAGCTTGGCAAGTGGGACCCAGAAAATTTCTGGGAGATGCTCAGGACAGATATTATTAGAGGTGACATATCCCTTGTTGTGCTCATGGATGAAATAACTTGCCAAAATTCACAAATTAGGCAAGGTGACAACTGTCTAGCACTCATTAATACAATAACTACAGAGTCAGTGGCAAACTGGGGATTCCTCATTGCACTGGGAGCTGCAATTTACTTTTTTTGTTGTTAAGATTATTCGTACTTTTTAGGTATACAGTACAGTTACATTTGTCATTCATCATTGGGATCTTGTACCTTTACATGATGTATCTTGGTTCTTATTTTTTCCCCATTCTCCTGCCCTCCCTTTACCCCCTCCACCCTTCCCTATTTACAAAGGCTTTGTTTCCATTTTTTCCTTTTCTCATATTTTTCCCTTTCGCTTCTTTCCTTTCCCCTACCTTTCCCACTTCCCCTACTCCTTTAGCCCCTTTCTTCCTATCTCACATTATCAATTATATGATTTGAACCTTATTTATACTTTTAGTTTTTCACACCAGAAAAACTATTCAGTATTTACACATGTGTCCTATTTGCTTCATTTAAGAGTATGGCCTCGGGCCGGGGATTTAACTCAGCGCTTCGGTGGCCTGCCTTGCAAGCACAAGGACCCGAGTTCAATCCCCGGTACCAAAACAAAAAAACAAAGGTATGGCCTCAATATGCATCCACTTAGCTATAAATGTCTCTAGTTTCTCATTCTTCATGGCTAATTAGTACTCCATTTTATAGAAAAACCACATCTTCTTTATCCAGTCTTCAGTTGATGGACAATTGGGCAGTTTCCAAGTTTTAGCTATTACAAACTGCTGCTATAAACAGGGATGCACATATATTGCTGTGGTATGATTCTTTTCATTCTTTTGGAAAGATACCCAGCGAAGGGATAGATGGGTCAAATGGAACCTCTAATCCTAGTTTTCTGAGCTATCTCCATACTTATTTCCACAATGGTTGCACCAGTCTGCACTCCCACCAACAATGGAGGAGGGTTCCTTTCTCCCCACATCCCAGCCAGCATTTGTTATTCATTGATTTCATGATAGCAACCATTCTTTCTGGAGTGAGGTAGAATCTCAGTGTTTTTATCTCCATCTCTCAAATGACCAGTGATGTGGAACATTTTTTCACATATTTATTTGCTGCTTTTACTTGTTTATTTGAGAAATGTCAGTTCATTTCAGATGCCCATTTTTGAATCAGGTCTGTATATTTGGGGGGGGTCTGATTTTTTTTTTTTTTTTTTTTTTTTTTTTTTTTTTTTTTTT